AACTCACGGGCTCAGGCAATCCACTCACCTCAGCTTCCCAAGGCGCGGGATTACAGACTGAGCTACCGAGCCGGGCTACCTGAGACATTTTCTATACATGTAAGTTAAGGGCTACCTGAGACATTTTCTATACATGTAAGTTAAGCGTCCTCCTTAGTTTGAAGTAAATAAGGAGGAAATCTTTAAGGCCTTTGCCTGCCTCAAGATTAGCATCCCCTTTTAAAAACATGCCTGCACTTAAGTTAAACTATTGCCTGAGAAATATGCCTGAGGTCATCGCTGTTTGTTGCAGGGCTGCCTGGCCACCAGCCCCAGTGAGAAGGAAGGGGAGCCCATGCGCTGCTGACTGTCTCAGGCAGGGTGTGCAGACGGTGGAGCAGACCTTGTGCCAGGAGGAAGTGCTGCTCAGCGTCTCATCCTGACTAGGAATTGTAATAAACATGACAATCTAAAACGTGCCTTGGGAGTTTACAGACTTTTCTACGTTAATACTTGAATTGTCTTTTCACTAAAGCTGGATTGAAGAAAAAGCCCTGAGAGTACCACTGTGGTACCCAGAAATATCCAAGTGTGGGCACTTCTTGCACTGGGGCACCAGCTTCCCGTGTGCCCATGGGGAGGCTGGAGGGTGGGGTTGGAAACCAGTGGTGAGTCCGCACTGGCCCAGCAGTGCCCCACTCTTCATCCTGAATTGTTCTCAAAACACTTGGTCGGGGTTGTGGTGGTCCAGGAAGAGAGGAAGATGGTTAGGCCCTTCCTTTCTCCTGAGCCTGGGGTGTTAGAAAGTCCTGGCCCCTAGTCTGGGCACGAGGGCTCATGCCCATAATCCCAGCACTTTGGGAGGCTGAGGTGGGAGGACTACTTTGAGCCCAGGAGTTCAAGACCAGCCTAGGCAACATAATGCAACTTTGTCTCTACAAAAATAAAAATGAAAAAGTAGCTGGGCATGGTGGCACACACCTGTAGTCCCAGCTACTCTGGAGGCTGGTGGAAGGATTGCTTGAGCCCAAGAGGTTGAAGCTGTGGTGAACCATGAGCATGCCACTGTCTTCCAGTCTGGGTGATAGAATGACTCAAAAAAAAAAAGTCCCAGCCTGCTGACATTCCCATGTTTCCCAGTTGTCTCATGCCCCTCACCAAGATTCCTACCTTCCTAAGGTTTGTGTTTGTGGCTCTTTTTTATTTTTTTATTTTTTTTTGAGTTGGAGTCTCACTCTGTCGCCCAGACTGGAGTGCAGTGGCCGCTCCCGGCCACCGCAGCCTTGACCTGCTGGGCTCTGGCGATCCTTCCGCCTCAGCCTTCTGAGTAGCTGGAACTACAGGCACGCGCTATCACGCCTGGCTAATTTTTTGATTTATTGTAGAGATGAAGTCTCACCAAGTTGCCCAGGCGGGTCTCAGGCAATTCACTCATCTCAGCCTCCCAAGGCGCGGGATTACAGGCTGAGCCACCGAGCCTGACTTGTGGTTCATTTTCAGTCTCTCCCTCATGAGGTGTGTGATGATTTCTGTCCCAGTGCATGGAGATTTGCTGGGAATGCGCCTGGAGTATGATAATGGCCTCACCTGGCTGGGAATCACCTCAGGGGAGACTCAAAGGGTAAGGGCAGGGTCTGTGAGAAGCTGTGCTTGTGTTGGGGATAGGGACCCCCTTCCAGACATTCGCTGGCACTTAGGAGTTTAGGAGTTTCCCACAGAGATGAAGGATGCTGAAACTGCAAAAGTTGGAATTACTGGCAACTTGCCTTCGGTGATTGCCGCCAAAAGAGGATGCTGGTATGCTAACCTGATGGAAAAGATGAATTTTGTCTGCTGGAGAATTTAGCTTACTGGAGGTGACACTTACACCCCCAGCTAGGGGCTGTAGCAGGAAATGTGTGGGCAAGCACTAAAGCCCAAGGAGGGTACCAAGTGGATTTTGCTTGGGGCGGGGTGGGGGTGGAGTGCGCAGATAAATATTTTCAAGGAGGTATTCTTTAAGCTGGACAGGAAATGAGAGGAAAGGACAGGAAATGCAGAAGCCCCCAGAGCTGGACCTGCTGAGGTGATGACCTTAAAGCTATGCCTGAATCTTCTGTGAAGGTGCAGAAGTTGGGCATTTCTCCTCCATACTGTGTGTAGGGGGATGGGGCTGGCCTGGCTCCAGCAGGAGCTTCTACAGACTAAAGGAACATTTGACAAGGTGAAGGTTGGTTTAGGAAGGAGGCCAGTGGGAGCCCCAGGCTGCGAGCCTTTATCCTCACCTGTGTCCTTTTAGCCTACAGTTGGGCTCTTCTTGCCACCTGCTGTGTGAGAAGTCAGGAGACAGACTTTAGTAACTATAAGCCAAACAGTGACAATATCAGACAGCTATGTGAAGGAAAGGGGTCACAAGTGCCTGAGGCCACAAGTGCACAAAGCAAAGAGCAGAACAGGTGGGAGCCCCTGTCTCTAGGTTGCTTTCACTCAAGTAGCTTGGGTGGCCATGTCCCCAAGCAGACAGGTTATCTTTGTCCAAACAGAGCCTCCTGTGGGACAGTTTGCATCGAGTGTTTATGAAAATTAGTTTTCTATACACGTCCACTGGAGTCTCAAGCATAGGAGCATTTAGACCAGTGTTTTGGAGGAAAACATCTCCCGGGGGATGTCACTAAGAGATTGGGAGCCTTCTTTGTACTGGGGTGAGAGGAAGGGGAAATTATCTTGGGGATTCCGGACCTTTATTCTTTCAAGGGATGGAAATAGTTTTATTTTTCTTCTGATTGAGGCAAAATTTCATAAAAGAATAAAGCTTTCTGGAAGTGGGCTACCACAACATACTTTGAACCACTCTCCTCTCTACCTCACTGTCGTCAGCTGCAGAATGAAGATGGCAGGAGTACCTGTCTCAGGGACACTGCAGAGAGTGCTCAGTCTCTGTAAAGCATTTAGCAGCATACTGGATACATAGTAACTGCTCAGTAAAGATGTCAATAATGGAGGAAAAATAACACAAGCTCATTGTAAAAGACACAGGAAAGTACGAAGGAAATAAAAATCACCTTCATCCTACTCCCATTCACATTCTGAGTCCTAGGCACTCATTGATCTGTGTAGACACAAGTCCATAGTAGTACTCTTGTTTGGATTTTCTTTTTTTGAGTTGGAGTCTCACTCTGTCGCCTAGGCTGGAAGGCAATGGAACGTTCACAGCCACCACAGCCTTGACCTGCTGGGCTCAGGTGATCCTTCTACCTCACCCTTCCAAGTAACTGGAACTACAGGTGCATGTTACCACGCCTGGCTAATTTTTTGACTTATTGTAGAGACGAGGTCTCGCCAAGTGGCCCAGACTGGTCTCGAACCCCTGGGCTCAGGCAGTCCTCTCGACTCTGCCTCCCAAAGTGTTGGGATTACAGGCTTGAGCCACCAGGCTCAGCCTGTCTGGCTTCTCTTTTAGAGGAATTATTCCTCCTTGCTTCTATGCTGGAGGGGAGGGTGCTGGCCTGACTGGGCTGAGGATCTGACTTCCCTGCAAGCAACAGGGCATTTATAAAGGCCTGTCTCGTGGAATGTGGAGGTTTGGGGGTGTCATCCATCCTGCCTGCACCTGGTGCTGAAGAGGAAGCCAGAGGGCAAGCCTGGCTGGAGCTGCAGGGCCAGGACCTGAGGGTGTCATCCATGCCCTGAAATCTGGGCTATAGGAACCAGTCAAGTGCTTTGTTTCTTGTTTTCTTTTTCTTTCTTTCTTTCTCTTTCTTCCGTTCGTTCGTTCTTTCTTTCTTAGCTTAGGATTTTTACACAGTCCATTTGATAACTTCTTTACTTAACATGTAACACATTGCATCATTTTTTTTCTTTCTGATTATAAGCAAGCATATGTGTGTGTATGACAATTTTTAAATTAAGAGTACACAAAAATTCATCTTCAGTATCAGCCAGTATCCAAAGGCAGTCCCTTCTGTCTTTTTTTGTTTGTTTGTTTTTGAGTTGGAGTCTCACTCTGTCGCCCAGACTGGAGTGCAGTGGCCGCTCCCGGCCACCGCAGCCTTGACCTGCTGGGCTCCGGTGATCCTTCCGCCTCAGCCTTCCAAGTAGCTGGAACTACAGGCATGCGCTACCACGCCTGGCTAATTTTTTTTTTTTTTGATTTACTGTGAAGATGAGATCTCACCAAGTTGCCCAGGCGGGACTCGAACCCATGGGCTCAGGCAGTCCACTCACCTCAGCCTCCCAAGGCACGGGATTACAGGCTGAGCCACTCAGCCCAGCTCCCTTCTGTCTTTATATAACTTATATATAGTAATTTATTTCTTGCCATGTCATTTAAAAATAGTTGTTTTATCTTTTATTCCATGTTTAGGCCATCTGTGGTATTGTGAAATACATATTTGGTTTGTGTTCCATCTCCTGGCATATAATTCCTAAAATCCTTGGAATCTTGAAAGTAATAAATGTCTCTTTGTGTGCTAATGATTGACTGGATGCTGAGGTTCCCCAAGCAGTTTCAGAATGACCAAGGCAGGAAAGACCAAGGCAGGAAAGACCAAGGCAGAAAGACCAAGGCAGGATCGGAGGGTTGGAACTTTCAGCCCACCCTTGACCTCCGGGGAGGGAGAGGAGCTGAAGGTTAAGCTGATCACCAATAGCCAGGGATCTAATCAATCATGCTTATGTAATGAAGCCTCCTTAAAAACCATTTTTAAAAAAGAGGACAGGGTTCATAGAACTTCTGGATAATACTATACACATACACACACAGGCACATATATATATGCCCATATATATCCAATCATGAACTAAAGGAAAATGAACGCAAATACTCCAGTTTCAACTGAACATAATTAAACATACTAGTTCTGCCATTAGACCAGAGAGCCACACTGGGAGAACTGCACTCTGGCCTTCCAAGACTCTCTTCCCACAGCAAGTGGAGGACAGGGGCCTGGGCATATCTGCCCACGCAGACCTGTTCTCCCCAGAATCCCCTGTGAAACCAGCCCTGAGTTGCTTTCAAATCTGCTTCCAAAGGGTGACCAAGGGGTGGGTACCCATTTGTGGCTTCGTGAGGCCCCTTGCAGTGCAGGACAAACTAGAGGTAGGAAGAGGGAAGGTGGGCAATGAGTGGGCGGCAAGGAACTCTTCTCACACTACCATATCTTGGTGCCGATCTCCGAGGAATCCAAGAATTCCCACCTGGTCTTCCAGATCATTATGAAAACGTATTTATCAAGATAGGAGGAAGGATCATGTAACTTTTTGATGTTTAGACACATGGTGACAATACATATTAAATGGCAAATCTCCATCTACATAGCATCCCCATATTCTAAAAATCTCTAGACATATGACTTGTGGCTTCCATTTTTACTCTTGTGCTAAGCCCTACAGATGGGAGGAGTAGACCTAAAACGAGACTACGTATATCAAAGAACACTATTTGTTGATGAGAAATTTCACAACTCAGAATGGAAACAGACAAATAACTTGAAGATT